CGCGCATGTGTGCTCGGGTTTATGCATCACAGTATATATATAGACATAAGAAGACAGCTCACTCTTTTCATCATGTAGGTTCTGAGGATCAAACACTAGGGTTTTTGTTTTGTTTTGTCATTTTCACCCAACCGACTCTCCACCTACTCACTTCGTTTCTTCACTCCCTGTTCTTTTCATTTGTGGTGTTTTCTAGCATGTATTTTTTACTTTACTTCCTGATTACTAAGCTATAAATCCCATAAGGGAAGGCGTTTTCCTGGTGTTTTTGTTCACTGGTATCTCTGGAGATTCTAAAATGGTACATTTGAGGAGGGCTTCAGCAAATCCTTGTTATAGAAGCTGTTTGGGGGAATGCAGCTTCTCACAGGGGCCCAGCACACTTCAGGCTTTGGAGGGCTTATTTTCACTATTAGTGAAGTGATTCTCGGGCTTTCCCCCCCACACACACACACCTTTGGTTTTTCAAGACAGTGTTTCTCTGTGTAATAGCCCTAGCTGTCCTGGAACTAGATCTGTAGACCATCCTGTCCTCAAACTCACAGAGATCTGCCTGCCTCTCAGAGTGCTGGGATTAAATGCATACACCACCACTGCCAGGTCTGTGAAGTGATTTCCTAAAGCTCAGCATAAAGTGCTATTTAACCAGTCAAGGTACACTTCTATCCATGTGAGCTCTGTATCCTTTTTGGGTTTACAACAGCAAATACATTGCACTGAGCCTGTACATAGGAGATGACTCTGGTTTCTGCACTCATAGGGCTTAGAATGGAGAGAGAAATTCTATGGTAGGGCTGGTACAGTTATACATAGGCCTTCTCCCAATCCCGGGTAGGCTATCAGGTATAGTGATGCTGGGAAAGACTTTCAGGAATCATTGAGAGCTGATTTGGAATATGAGGGAAGAGATGATAGCGAAGCATGGCTCTCCGCCCTTTCAAAGCCACTGGAAAGGTGGGTAGTGCAAACAGCCAGCCCTGCTTCTCAGAGAGATGGAGTCAGGAGTGCTCACTGAGCATAGCTAAAGAAGAGACAACAGAGAAGACATCCCAGAGTCATGGAACATGAAAGGCAGAAGGAAGCAGTGTATAGGGCACAAGTATTGGAGTCCTATGATTTGCAGGGAGTTGGGATGAGCCAAACTGTACATAGAGCAGAAATGGTGAGGTTGGAGGCAAAACAGCCTTCCTATCTTGTTGAGGAACTTGATGTGTGTGGCAGGGCGGGGTGGGGATGGGGTGTTGTGTTGAGGTTTTCCACGTGGAGCTCTGTCCAAACCACACAGAAAGAACTGTTGATCCAGTTCAGCACTTTCATCTGAAACAAAGACACAAGTGACTTGGAAAGAGACTTGGAACTTAGCAAAACAGAAAGGGTAGGCAGTGCCATCAAGCCTTTCTGCTTTGATTTGAGGCTTTAAACCTATATTTATTGTCCATTTGCCAAGAAGGAGGCCAAGTAAGCCAGCAGAGATGAGTCAGCTGTTCATACTGTGTATCCCTGGCTAGGCTCATCAGAGGTATGCCCACCTTGTATTTACAAGAGTGCTTTGCAAGCCAGCCAGGTTGGCACACACTTTTAATCCCTGCTGTCAGGAACCAGAGGCAGGTGGATCTCTCTGAGTTGAGTTCAAGGCCAGCTTGGTTTACCTAATGAATTTCAGGACAGCCAGAGCTGTATAATGAGAGAGAGAGGGAGACAGAGAGAGAGAGACAGAGAGAGAGACACACATACAGAGAGAGAGAGAGAGAGAGAGAGAGAGAGAGAGAGAGAGAGAGAGAGAGAGAGAGAGAGAGAGAGAGAGAGAGAGAGAGAGAGAGAGAGAGAGAGAGAGAGAGAGAGAGAGAGAGAGAGAGAGAGAGAGAGCACCTATATAGATGTTTACTAGCCTTAGCAACAGTGGCATTGAGCAGGTTAGAGCTACCATCATCATATAGGGCTAATGGGTGGATGTGGTGCCTAGAAGATGGTACATTAATAGCAGCTTAGCAAGTTTACACAGGGTGACAAACAGCCCAGATGTTTCTTGGAACTCTAGTGGTATCAAAGCAGAAAAGTCAACAACTTAATTTTTAAAAAAGACAAATGTAGGTGATCTTGAAGGTGGCGTAAGTCTGTAATATCATTACTGTTTCTCTATGCTTTTGTGTATTTTTTTATCTTTTCACGATAAGTCTTTTTCTCAGTATAATCCTCAGAAGCCCCAATAATAGTGACTTAAATATATTTTATTCCTCTTTAACTAAATTTGCTTTCCTTCCCTATAACAGTAAGCATAATTCTTTAGTCATATTACTTACATGATATTTAAAGGTGTATCTTAATTTATACATAATACCAGGAATCAAACAATTTAATTTGTGGGGACAAATTAGTTCAGACTTTGTATCTACCCGAAAAGTATAGCCTATAATTAAAAAGAGTATACCGTATCATTGTCCACAAAACAAAAGAAATATGGATTTCTGTTTGCTTGGTTATTTTTAAATGTCATCAATTTTCAGCAGTATGTTTTTTGTTTTGTTGTTTTGGGGGGAGATGGTATCCAGGACTTTGTGCATGTTACTTTGGTTTCTGTCACTAATCGACATTTCAAGTTCTTAGCCCCTAAATTCTTTAACAGACTTTATAAAAGGTATCCAGCATATCTCCCAGTTCTTCAGAGAGCTATTGAGCGATGGTATGGAGAACCAGCATGTACTACTCCTATCTTAAAACTTTTGGCAGAACTGATGCAAAACAGGTAAGCCGCTGTGCACATTCCACAGAGTTCACGGCTGCCTGCCGGGTATTGTCACAGTTTAGCAAGAATACAGGGCACAGATCTGTGAAAACAATAGATATGAGCTTCAAAAGGAAGAAATTGCAGTATACTCTAGGGGGGCAGGACTGAGAAAGGCAAAGAATGAGTAGTATACTTTATAGACGCAAACTTTGGGAAATGGAAAAAAAGTTGAAAGACTACAGCCAAAGTCACAAAATGGAAACAAAAGAGCAGCAATTTTAACCATTTCTCTGCTTAGCTACAATTCTGTAGAATTTTAAATAAGGAAATGTGATCTCTGAGTTGATCTCAGGGCTCTTCACTGGCAGGTGGTTGTTTGCCTGGGAGCTGTGAGGATGTCTCTGCTTAACTCTGAGCATCCGTCTGTGTCGGCTGTTTGCAGCCACAGCATTTCTCAAACCTTATGATTGTGCATAGCAGCAGGGATTCAGATGCTCTGCTTATAAATACTTACAAAGATTCAGCAAAGCAGGTGGGGGAGCTACAGCAATCTACTTATGTTTGCCTGTTTAAAATGTGTCATTGTGGATGTGGCCTAGCACCAATTACCTGTCACTTAGCCATCCCGTTTCATCAGTGCCTCTTTGCAAACAGCCAGACAGGGAAGGAACATGGATTGCCGCTCAGCTTACTCTTGCTGAGTTGTTCATAGCAATAAATCAGTTTTCTTTACTCTTAAATTAGAGATGGAAAAAGATTTATAAAAGAAATGTATTTTCTTTTTTTTTGAAAGCTCTTAGGATTTTTTTTAAAGTTTTCTCAATTATCTTAAATATTCAGAGAATATGGGCTTTATATTTAATATTAGAAATATGGATTATTTATAATTAAAATTGTTAATTAGACATACATTACCAAAGTAGCATTTAATAGAAAAAATAATGTTCTATGTTACAAAGCATTTTGTGTCTGCCATAGTAAGTAATTCATCGCACAAATGACTCATTATAAAAATTTGTATTTCATGAAACACTGTATAAATTTGTCTATATTCTAGTATGGATTGCATATTTGCAATTTTTAAATCACAGTTATTATGGTACTTAATAGTAAACTAATTTTGAAAAGCAGCAATTTGTTTAGCAAACAAGACTTAGCAATGATTTGCCTGTGGTTTGGAGGACAGTTTTTTTTTTTTTTTTGATTGGTTGGTTGGACAATTAGTTGGTGTTTTGTTTTGTTTCTTGTAGCATTGTGGGTTTTGTTTTTTGTTTGTCTGTTTTGGGGGGTTGTTTGATTGGTTGGATTGGTTTGGGGGGCATTGTTTTTGTTTTTGTTTTTTTCAAAACAGGGTTTCTCTGTCTAACCCTGGCTTTCCTAGAACACTAACTCTGCAGACCAGGCTGGCCTCAAACTCACAAAGACTCCCCTGGGGACATTAAAAGCCTGCGCCATCGGGCCAGGCACTCTTGCAACATGGTTTAAAGACATTCCATTGTAATTTGAAAGCATAGCAGCATGGCATGCCACAGTCAAATGAGGCCAAGGGAGGGAGCTGAAAAGCAGATATTACATCAGAAGGCTTGTCAGTCCCTTACTCTGTTCAAAGTACTCTCCACCTTTGGGGAGCCAGGAAAGCAAAGTTTTCCTCAGAACTTGTGGAATTTGTTTCTTATTAGCTCAGCTGTGTACAGTAGAAACTATGGTCTGTAATTGTGTACTGTGTTTGAAATGTGTTCTCTTTGGGAGAGGACCCAGTTCACATTTGCCCATTACTAAAAGACCCTGCATAGAATTTTTCTAAAGATATAACTCACACTGTGAGAGATAACAATTGTGTCACTGTTTTTAAATAATTATTCATCAGCCACTTTGTATGAAAGGAGAAGAGGTAGAAGAACTGCAATCTAAAATGTCAGGACATTATTTTTGATAAATTAAAAGATGAACCCTTTGGATCAACAAATGGTGAAGAAGTTATTGTACATATTTTACCAGTAGCTGTTTGATTGGTGTGACTCTTTAAAGGGTAACTGAAACTGAACTGCTTCTTGGAAATGAAATTGCTAGACATGCTGATATTTGGTTTCTTTATCTGCAAGAATAGTCTGATTTTTTTTGCTGTATTTCTTAGGTCTCAGCGTTTGAATTTTGATGTATCCTCTCCTAACGGAATTCTTCTCTTCAGAGAAGCGAGCAAAATGATTTGCACTTACGGTAAATACCTTTTTCCTCATTGGTCTCTGCAGTATAACTTAACATGTTTCTGGAAGAAAAGATGCTCATTGTTTCCTTCTTCTGAACCTCCATATCTATATGAATTTGTGAAGTGGGTAACAGTGCAGAAAGCAGGACCCTCACCTGAACAGCATCAGGCAGGAGAGGTAATGACATCCTGGCCAATTTGATATAGTTCTCTGAGATAAAATTACCATGTCAGTAGTAAATAATACAGTAGATAGACTTTTTAAAGTTATAGTATAGCCAGAATTTCTCAAATTTGTATCGAAGAATTTGCTGCCTTGGGTCTATGAATGCTTAGACCACTTTGTCAGGAAATATCCTGGCAAACAGCAGTCAATGTTTTATAAAATATTACAAGGAATATTTACATTTTGGTTCTGTACTCCTAGAAGTAGAATTCCCAAGACAAGATTGTTCTAGTTAATTACATTAAAAGTTTTTTTACAATTTATTTAGCAGTTTGAGCCTAAGAACTACCATTATCCCTAAAACTTGCCAATTAAGACAACTTCATTAATTTCTTTTCAAGACTTTTTTCTAAGTTATAACCATTTGTTTCTTTTGCTATTTAATGATTCCATACATGTATGTACTATATTCTGGTCACTCTTTCCAGACCTCCTTATTCCCCTGAGAGCTCCTTTGTTTTAGTTCTCTTACCCATGCTTGTTGGTGTTTATTTTGTTTTGTGTCCTGTAGAAGTGATATGATGCTGGGTTCAGAGATTGTGAGCACTGTACCCACCAGTGGGGATACAACTGGATGCTGCCCCATCCCCCAGAATCAGCTTCCAGTAGGTGTACAGTCAGTGGAGGCTCCATGAGCCCCTTCCCACCCATAGCTGACTGTTCAGAGTCTGACTTTTATGGGCCCAATGCCAGAACACACAGCTTGTGTGTGTGACTTGATACTGTGTTGGTCAGCAAAGCATCAGTATTAGGTTCCACCCTGGGGCCTGAGACTGTTCAGTTATGGATTTGGGGCTGAGTATAATAGTAGTAGACATGGATTCCCTCCTATAGAGTGTACCACAAACCTTTTTTTTTTTTCTTAGTATTCAACATCCTTAGCCATGAAGGAAATACAGATAAAACTACTTTAAGATTCCATCTAAGTCCAATCAGAAGGGTCATCATCAAGGATGCAAATGACAACAAATGCTGTATTAAGTCATTTATCATACACTTCTCAAGACCTCAGGACAGTATTGCTGGTTCCCTGACCTTGGGAAAGTTGGAGGTGGTTATAAAGAATTGAGTCAGATACTGTCCTGAAAGGCCTTAGACCAGTTAGCCAGTATAATTACTTTGATGGTTTGAATAGATTTGGCCCCTACAGACTCTGGCACTATTAGGAGGTGTGGCCTCGTTGGAGGAAGTGTGTTATTGTAGGGATGAGCTTTGAGTGAAGTCTTACAGGCTCAAACAGTGCCCAGTGTGGCAGTATTTCCTTGTGCTGCCTGTGGATCAAGATGTAGATAGAACTCTCAGCTCCTTCTCCAGCACCATGTCTGCCTGCATCTTGTTTCCCGCCATGGCAATAATGGACTAAACCTCTGAAACTAAACCAACTCCAATTAAATGTTTTCCTTTGTAAGAGTTGCTGAGGTTGTAGTATCTCTTCACAGAAATAGAAACCCAAACTAAGACAATTACTGTAACTAGCCACTGTGATTACTGTAACAAATTGAAATTGAAGCTGTTGGCATTAAGAAGCTCGCCAAGTATTAAAAAACGTAGCTGATGGTGGTTGGATAGGAATTTCACTGGAAGTCACTGTGACTGTAGATAGTAATTTTCCCATATCCCTTCCTGCTATTGAGAAGATTTAGGAAGTTTAAGACAAGCACTATGTGTTTTAGTGATTTTCATCCCCAAACTTGAGGGAAACCAAAGGTACAAGTGGGAAAATATCCTCCAACTGTGTTACCACTGACTTTGACACATGCACTTCACATAGAGTAATATAAGACTGTCCCGCCCTCCGTGGAATCCCATGCTGGCTTCCAGCCTTCTGGGGTCTGGAATATTTTCTTAGCATGCTTTTCCTCTGGAGAGTCTAGGCTTGCTTGTTGGAGGGCGGTCATGTGGTTTCTATCTAGGAGTCTGGAAGATGAAAGGGTAACAGTGAGGATGAGCAGAGTAAGAAATACTTACTTCTTTGGGTTATCCAAGGTGAAGGACAGGGAAACCTAAAGGGCCCTCCCCCTCTGTCCCCACCCTCATTGAGCTTCCTTGTAGCTCACCTCTCCTGGATAATGTTTGGGTAGTTGGGGATGGGGTAGTACTAGAGAGGACTCACAGCTTAATGCACCTGATTTATTACACATTTTGTGGACCAGCTCTTCTTCACTGCTCTGTAAGACTGGCAGAAAAATAATACTTTTGATATGCTGTTTTATTTATCTACATTCTGTCATGATATACTTTGATGTAAGTTTTTAATTTTGCTTCAGCTCTCAGCTGCTCTTGCCGTTACAGCTCAGGGTCAGCACTGAGGTTAGCCACAGTAGCACAAAACAATTTCCTGTTTGTACAGCCCAGGTAACATTTGGATGAGGATTAAATTTTACCACATTTTCTACTAGCCCTAGCCTATTATTTCTAATGAGTTTTAAATTGCTTCAAGAACATGTATTTCAAAACTTAGTGCAATGATCCTTCAGCCTGAGCAACTTAATAAAAGAAATTTCTTTCTCTAAATTTTTGGTTAAAATGTTGCATGCAGTGTAATAAATGTTATTACTCTGGAAACCTACTTCTCAGCTTTAAGAAGTGGATGTTTTTATGCTCAATTTCCATTTGTCTAATCTTTTCTTCCCATTGCCTCTGGGTACTGGTATCTTTAGTGACATCTGTTGGTTGAAGAGCGCACAGAGGGGAGAAATACTGTTCATTTTCATGAGGCTGGCCAACATGGAATTGCTTGTATTCCTTCCTTTGGTGGCTGATTTTAGGAAGCTTAACTTGTAAAAGTTTAAACTTTAAAAATAGCTGGAACAAACTATGATTATTCTCTTCACTGAAAATTTACATCTTGAGCTGGGAGATAGCTCAGCAGAAGACCTGGGTTCAACTCCCAGCACCCACATGGAAACTGTAAATTGTTTGTAACTCCAGTCCCAGGTGATCCAGTGCCCTCTTCTGTCCTCCATGGGCACCAGACACAGAGGTGGTGCATAAGCATACGTGTAGGCAAAGCACCCGTATGGACGGACGGACGGATGGATGGCATCTCAAAAAAGTTTTAAAGAATTTTCATCTTGAAACAACATACGCTTCTTTAATACTCATAAATTGAGTTTGTGAAGTTTTATACAAACCATTCCTACTTCTTGTGACCAAACTAACAAACCAGTGGTTTACTCAATGGGATTTACAGAGCCCTAGAAGTCCGTAAAAAGCACCACAGAAACTGTTCAGAAAACACACACACACACACACACACACACACACACACAAAGAGTGAACCTAGCCAGAAATACCCAGCTACACAATTGCACAAACTAAGTTGGTTGTAAAAGTTGTTTGCCACTAAGAAAATAATTCCTGGAACACAGCATTAAAAGTTACCATATATTTACATTAAAATGATAACAAGAAGATAGATGAAGGCTGCATTGGTTTTGAAATACTTGGAGATTTTATAAAATGCCAGCAGGAAATAACAGTTTTTGAAAATAGACTATCCAGGGCAATCAACAGTAGCCTTTGCTTTGTGTATACAATGCAGATAATAAAGATTTCAAAAGTCTTTTGTAGGTAATAGGATGATTTGATGCCTTGAGGACCCTAAAATCCATCTCAGCTAATGTACCTAAAAAAAAAAAAAAAAACACAAACAAACAAAAAAAAGGCCATGGTGAGTTTAAGAACCTACAAGTATTAGACTAAACCTCCTTTGCACACAAGAAAAACAAAATACTAATAACTTCCTTCACCATGCAGCTAACGTTTATTGAGCATGTACTGTGTGGTAGTGTAAGTTACAAGGGATGAGAAGATAAACAACAGATTTTTCACTAAGAAAGCTTAAGGCAATCAGGAGATTAATGAAGAATTATAGTACACTGTGCTCTGATATGTTCAAAAGTATTCAGAGTGCTCTAGAAGACATTTCTCCTTCAAAGTCAAGGGGTTGGGGAAGGTAGAATTTTTTGAAGAAATAAGAATATAGCCCCCATGGTACTAGAGAGACAGCTTAGTAGTTAAGAGTACTTACTATCTTCTAAAGATCAAACTTTGGTTCCTAGCACCCATATTGAATAGTTCACAACTACCTGTAACCCCAGTTGAGGGAATATAACACCCTCTTCTAGCCTCCACAGGCATGGGAAACTTATGTATAATAAGTCATACATATAATTTTTTTTTGTTCACAAATATGTGGGCAGCACAAATTGGACTTGATGGATGAAAATAAAAGGACACAAAGTTGGGTCTGGAAAGAGTCTAAGGAGGAGATGAATGTGATCAAAACACATTGTATGAAATTTTCAAAAAACTAATGAAAATTATTTATAGAAAAAAATTTCTTTCATAAATATTTTATGGTTTAGTATACAAATCATTTAAGGAAACACTTTCCTTAAGGAAAGTACTGAATGCTTTTTTGCTTGCTTGTTTTTTGTATAGAATGTTTGCATTGTGCAATCTATATATGTGTGCACAAACATGCAGACAATAGAGGTCAGTGTTGGGTATCTAACTCAATCACTTTATGTCATAATTTTTCAGTCAGATCTCTCACTGAATGTTGAACTCCTAATTCTGAGAGTCTGCCTAGCTAGTGAGTTTCAGAGTTCCTCCCATCCGCCCTTCCTCACCCCCCAGCTCTAAGGTTACAAACACCATACCATGCCTGACATTTTATTTGGGCCCTGGGTATCCAAATTCAGGTCCTCAAGCCCGCTGCTTATGTGGTGGACTGTCCTGACTGAGCCGTTTCCCTAGGTCTCTGAATGATTCTCAGTG